ATATATATTGCCATTGTAGTCTTGAGTATATTGGACAAATAAAACATACCCTTAAAAATCAGTTTAAAGAACATGAAAGATTCATCCGAAATCAGTCATCAGGCTAAAATCATGCAACAATGCTCTTTCTTCACCGAGCTGCATTTCTTGGAGTCATTCCATAATTTTTAAAAGTTCTAATAATTGGGCATAATATGAAAAAAACACAACTTCAATTGAACCATTGAAAAACTGATTAACTGATTAAACTATTGAAAAACTGATTTCAACCATTTAACAGCTGATTAAATTTAAAAAATTGGTTCCCTTCTCCCAGAAACGAGTTTTTAATGAGGATAACAATTTGAAAAAGTTAGGAGCTAATTAATTTTTGTGCACGATGGGATTTCTGCCATGACCCCTCCCACTAGTTTTATGCATCCCCTCTTTTATTACTTTTTCTCCTGTTTCTGATGGTTGCATGTACTTAAATTCTGATGGAGAACCTTATTTCTAGAACTGAAACAATAGGTCTGTTCATTTATGTACTTATTTGTTCCTTATTCACATTGTTTTATCATTTAGTCAACGTAGCATAAAATATACTCCATCCTTGTTTTGAACCGTTTGTGATGTTCTCTTTTTCTTAAACAAGCATTGTGAATTTTTTCTAGTTTCTCAACCACAGAAATAACATGTTTCTTGTTTCTTGTTGCATATATAGCTATTCTCATTTTTCAAATACATATTACAAGCCATGTATTTTTTTAAACGCATTTTGGATTTCATTTGAATTTAACACGCGCATGAATTTTCTTATAAATATGCATTTTGAATTTTAAACACGCAGATTTTCTCAAATTCCCCAAATTCCCTAGTTTGTAAAATAACATTTTCGAATTCTGATCAACTAAAAATAGTTTCGACTACCGATTTAGGGAATGGAGTTCCTGATAAGATTAGGTAAACTAGTTCACTGACATTATGTAATGCAACCATATCTATGGCACTAACACGCTAATTACTTGGCCTTCTGAGCAGATAAGTATCAAAAGCATCGCCAACGCTACTTGATCAGAGAATTGATCAGAGAAAATATTACCATCTGTCTTATGAAACATTGGTAGCTTTATGTGTATGTTTTGTACGTCGTGGCCATCTTACTTTTCCCTCTATCCTCTTTTTCAACTATCAGATTTTACTTTCCTGTATTATCCTGGGAGTCACCACTATTTGGCATCATATCTCGGAGTAAAAAAGGATTTCTCAAATTTAATAAATCAAGAGGTAAACTTTATGAGGAAATAAAATAAAAATTATTTTTTGCATCAAAAATGGAAACTTAAATATATGCATAATGAATGGATAGAAGAAAATATTTTGAATTTCGGTATTAAATTATTTTAAATGATTCTCAAATAATTTCGATACTTTACGAGCGTGAGAAAATGCAATATTAGAAACATATTCTGATTACTATAACGCTTTAATTAAAAACAAATTCCTTGTATTCAGTAATCGCTACAGTTTTTTTTTCATAACACGCTTGTTAAAAAAAGTTTATTTTTTTAAGCATGCATTTTGAGCTCTACATATCTCTACATACAGGCACTACATGTCTATGCTCAATATTTTAAAGGGAAAAAACACAATGTAAGATGCGTCCATTTTCTTAAAATCTCGTTTTAAGGTCTTATAAAAATAAAATAAAAATATTGACATTTCGTAACATTTAATAAAAAAAATGAGGTGGTTTCTGTTTATCATTCTAACTTACTGGTTAGTGTTAACGACAAACTAAGTTGCCAACTCTATTGTATTAAAAGAGTAAGGTAAATATAAATAAATGCAACATATTTATCGTCTAAATTAATCTATTAAGTACTAAAATAACAAAGACTACAGAGTAAACTTAACAAACGAAGGAAATTAAGAGGATAAAGAAATTTTAGTCATCTTTATTATTTCATAAGGTTTAATATCATAAGTTATCTTAATGCTCACAGATATTTAATTCAAAAAAGTGCCAAAACATTCCAATACTTCTTCCTTTTTTTCTGTGTCTCAAAACTTGTCATCAACATACTTGTATACGGTGCCAAAACGGCTGTATTTATTTTTAACGAGTTTTAATGTTAAAAATATATTTATTTCAGCTTTAACATTGTTTTCTTTATTATTCATTTCCAGTACAAATTCAACATTTCTTTCTTTAGATGTAAAAAATTATTAACTTACTTTCTTAATTAAGTTAAAGGCATTTTTAAATGATATAAATTTAAATAAAAAAAACTAGTTCGACATCTTCATAAAGAAATAAAGGCAAACAATATTTTCTAGGTTTGCTTGTATTAATTAAGTGAAGGAATAAAGCAGTAAAAGAAATCAATACCTTGACGCAATAAGCTGAGATAAAATTGTAATTTCTTTTAAAGCGACAAGGTATTTTATGATCTGATGAAAAGAACTTACAGTATAAGTACTTACACAAACACGACTAGTGGATAAAGCAGCACTTCGTTTTCAGATACGCCAGGGGGCAAAAATAGGCGCACTTGTGCTTCTAAAATAATATCGATCAAATTAAGGTAAAACGCAAAAGCATAGTTCTTCATTAAAAACAAGTCATTCTTAAGAGGAAAAAAATTCAATTATTTAGCTTACTGTAGCCGTTTTGAACAGAAACTTGAAATGTTCGAATTTGAGGAAGTGCTTTTTCTTGGATGATTGCCCTTAGGTCATCGTTAGTATCAAGTGTATCTAAAAAATATTAGGAAAAAAATTGAAGAAGGATAATTTTTTTAAGTTTTCATTCCTTTATTCTGTAAATAAATTAGCATCGGGATACAATTTATTAAACAAATTATGGGAAAATAATTAGTTCATATTTTTTATCGCCATAGAAATGCCTTCGTCACTGTTTAAACAAACATCACTTATAATTAAATTTCGTTCACGAAAGCATAGGAACTTTGAATTTGCAAAGCAGTAACTAATTACGATTGCTTTTTAATTTCATAGTTTACATCTTCCAATTTTTAATGTAAACTTTTACTTTGACATTTAATCAAATTTCCTCAATTCTTCTACGTTATTTAATACAGCGACAATGCATTATTGTAAAATACTGTTGGATTATGCAATATGAAAGTGAAATTAGATTACGCAAATTATTAAATTAGGAACTACAAAAGAATTTAAAAATATGCCTTTTGAGGCATTTTTAATCAATAGATTATTTTAAATAAAATAGCAAAAAAATTCGTTTTTTTTCAAACTTTACAAATTTTAAATCAAAGGAGTCATTTAAAATTTTTAAAATAATGATTTAACCAAGAAATTTCTTCCTCTCAGTCACTAAATCATCAATACAGGCTAACATAGCAGTTGAAAAAGATTGAATTTGTTTTTTACCGTTGGCAACAATGACTCCACTATATAGAAAATGGAGGTAAAATGTAACTAATATGTTTCATAAAATTCTTTTAACGAATATTTAATTAAAAAGAACCTCTTTTTATCAATAAATATAAACAAAAGCATAAATTTCTTAAAACTTTATCAATTATTGACATTTTTTATTAACGTATTTTTAATTAATAGACTAATTTAAATAAAATAGTAAAAAAAATTCACTTTTTTTTCAACCATCACAAATTTAAAAAATTCAAAAGAGTCATTCAAAATTTTTAAAATAATTATTTAACTAAGAAATTTTTGCCTCTCAGTCAGTAAATTATCAATACAGGCTAACATAAGCGTTTGAAATGAACTGAATTTGCTTTTTACCGTTGGCAACAATGACTCCATTGTATAGAAAATGGAGGTAAAATGTAATTAATATATTTCATGAAATTCTTCTGACGAATATTTAATTAAAAAGAACAACTTTTTATTAATAAATATAAACTAAAGCATACATTTCTTAAAACTTTATCAATTATTGACATTCTTTTTTATTTCTTTTGGAATTTAATTACTATTTTTCCACTTATTTCCGTTCTATAATAAGAACTAATTTCGAGGTTATAAGACTGCATTGGTAATAATTGATGAAAGACGTACTTACCAAATGTTTGATTATATATCGATCGAATTTCTATTTTGGGTATGCCAGGTCCTAGACATTCAAGCACGTAATACTCAGAAGTTGGACTGAAAATAACATTGAAGTAGAGACAATCGGGTCCTTCCTCGCATGTTAAGCACTTCGTGAAAGTAGTGGAACGGGCTTTTTTACCAGATACTGAAAACAAGTGTCGTTCTCCTGGACGGTTTTCCAGAGTAGTTAAATAGTACCTACACGTTTAAAAATGTTCTTTTATTAACGTGAATAATTGCATGTATCAAAGTTTTAAAAGATGCGAAGATGTTAATTATAATGCTAATCAAGGCATATAAAAAACTATAAACCATTTTTGTGCTGAATTAAGAACAATTGAAAAACCATTTTCTTTGCAAGCTCTCAATAATTAAATGGCGCCAAAGCGAAATTCGTATATCCAAATAAGTAGTACCTGTTAACGTTAAATAAAGCCTGTACTTGCAAAAATTTTCGTTTATGAATAATTCCATGTATGAAAATTTTAAAAGATGCACCGTTAATTAAAATGCTAATCAAAGCCTATAAAAAACTATAAGCAATTTATGTGCTGAACTAAGAACAATTGAAAAACCATTTTCTTTGCCAGCTCTCCATAATTAAAAGGCGTCAACACAAAATTCGTATATCCAAATAAGTAGTACCTGTTAACGTTAAATAAAGCCTGCACTTGCAAAAATTTTCGTTTATGAATAAATAACATGAATTATTCCATGTATGAAAATTTTAAGAGATGCACCGTTAATTAGAATGCCAATCAAAGACTATTAAAAAATATAAACCATTTTTGTGCAGAACTAAGAACAATTGATAAACCATTTTCTTTGCAAGCTCTTCATGATTAAAAGGCGTCAAAACGAAATTCGCATATCCAAATAAGTAGTACCTGTAAACTTTAAACGGTGCCTTTACAAAAATTTTCATTTATGAATAATTAACATGAATAATTCCATGTATGAAAATTTTGAGAGATGAACCGTTAATTAGAATGCTAATTAAAGCCCATAAAAAAACTATAAACAGTTCTGGTGCTTAACTAAGAACAATTGAAAAACCATTTTCTTTGCAAGTTCTCCATAATTAAAAGGCGTCAAAACGAAATTCGTATATCTAAATAAGTAGTACCTGCTAACTTTAAATAGTGCCTGTACTTTTAAAAAGTTTCGTATATAAATAATTTACATAAATAATTTAATGTATGAAAATTTTTAACGATGCACCGTTAATTATAATGCTAATCAAAGACTATAAAAAAATAAAAACCATTTTTGTGCTGAACTGAGAACAATTGAAAACGAATTTTCTTTGCAAGCTCTCCATAATTAAAAGGCGTCAAAACGAAATTCGTATATCCAAATAAGTAGTACCTGTTAACGTTAAGTTCTGCCTGTACTTTTAAAAAGTTTCGTATATGAATAATTAACATGAATAATTTCATGCATGAAAATTTTTAACGATGCACCATTAATTATATTGCTAATCAAAGACTATAAAAAAAAACATTTTTGTGTTGAACTAAGAACAATTGAAAACCAATTTTCTTTGCAAGCTCTTCATAATTAAAAGGCGTCAAAAAGAAATTCGTATATCCAAATAAGTAGCACCTGTTAACGTTAAATAAAGCCTGTTCTTTTAAAAAGTTTTGCTTATGAATAATTAACATGAATAATTCCATGTATGAAAATTTAAAAAGATGCACCGTTAATTAGAATACTAATGAAAGCCTATAAAAAATTATAAATAACCAATCTTTCCGTTTAACTAAGAATAATTGAAAAACCTTTTTTTTTGCAACATATCCACAATTTAAAGGTATTAAAGGGAGATTCGAGCATCTAAATAAGTTTCAAATTAAAATAATTTTCAATAGTTTTTGTTAAAATAATCTGTTATAAATAGAACTTTGGGCTCTTTTTGAACAAAACATATGGGTTATAAACTTATTAAGGAGCACGCTTCTATATTTTTGTTTATAATGTTACTCATTGAAAATACATTTAAAAACTAAAGATCTGTATAGAACGAAGCATTACAGGAATGAACATTAGAGAAATTTAACAAGCTGAATTGAGGGGGAGAAATATTTAATATTTCTCTATTTAAAATAATGTATATTTAACTTGAGATTTGAACAGAAATCATTAACTTCAGTGATTTTCGAAAATTTGTTTCTTAAGAATGTGCTACAGTGCTCCTAAAAAGTACTAAATGCTTACATAAAAAACAAAACTGAAAGAAGTAAAGGAAATGTTTTCCAATAATTAAATAAACAAATCTAAAGGGGCTTTAGATGCAGCCCGGATATTTAATTTAATATCTATTCTAATAATTTTTGCTAAATTGGTGTAGTTATCTGTGTAAAACACAAAGGAAAATGTTCTTAAAAGTTGTTTATACTCAGATATTATTTTAGATGTTAGTTTCTGAGTTATTAAATAATAAACGAAGTCGAATTTTTTAAATTCAATTTCGCAATATCTATTCGAAAGATATTTTTCAAATTTTGATTTTGAAATTCAAAATAAAGTTTTAATAATGGTGTAAAACTCTGCGTATCTTACAATTCAAAACATTTTTTGACTATTATTAAATAAATAATAAAAATAATATTTAATTATTAAAAATAATTTTGGTATAAAATTATCTTTGAATAAAATAATTTATTATTTCGCGCAAAAAGTAAATTAACTTCAAAGGGTCCAAACTTTTAAAAGCTGTTTTTACCAAACTATTGAGGCCATATTTTTTTTTTAAATTACGGCTACCCTCTGTATTTTGAGGATCAAAAATCTGAATCCGACGAAAAAAGTCATGTTTATACAGCTAAAGTATTTTTTGTGTCTCATTTTGCTATTTATCAAATCATCTGGACTAATTAATTAAAGTGTTTTATGTTAGGCCCTCAAACTACTAGTCATAATAAGTGAAAATCCTATAATCCCAAAAGTTATTCCTGATATTCAATTTTTGTGCTTTGAGCATTCATTCGTTATAATGCAAGTACAACGTGCAAAAATATTACGTCAGCAATAAAATCTTCAACTTGATTAAAATGTTTCCTAGGAACGATATGAAAAAAAGTAAGCAAACTAAATTTAAGTAGTAATTTTATATTATCAAAGTAAATTTTATATTTTGTGTACTTTTATCTCCTGTTATTTGAATCACGTTTTCTCAAACATCTTATGATCCAATAATTGTATTTGCTTGATGTATTAGAAAGGTTTGGCTAACATAATTTTGATTAAATACACTTAACTCTAAATATATATTGGAGAGCTTGTGCATCCAAATTAACTACTATTAGCACTGCAAGGCACATGAGTGGAACAATTATCAGCCAATCACTTGTTGTATATTAAATAATGCTAACGATGTTTGAATTATCCAATTACTTGCATAGGGATTCTAACATCTTACACAGAATGACTTGCTAACTATGAAGCTTCATAAATCTACGGAACAACTCTAAAATTTATAAATTATTGTAAGAAAGCACTTTCAAGATATGACAAGTCTATTCTGAAGTTTTAAAAACAGAAGTGCAAAATTCAAAGGTTTATTGCTAGTATTATAATGTTAATTAAACTTACAGAGTATTTGAGCCTCCATGATAGGCAACAACTTGAAAAATGTCGAAGCGACCCTGAGTTAAAAAGTCAACATGTCGAGTCTGAAAAAGATTTTTTTATTACATGTCAAACATAAAACATAAATTTCATTGTTCATAAGTCAAAGAAATCGTAATTTTTTTTTATTACTCCTCCATTTATAAGTACTTATTAGGTATGTAAGTTTAAGAAGACATATCAACAAACATATATCATTTAAATTATTAATATCTAAAAAGTATTTTCCTACTTTTTTGCATATAATATGACATAAAGTTTTAGTTCAAAAACACTTATACTTAATAACTAGGTACAATAAAACATATCAACTCTGTTGCACTTCTTGACTCAAATTTTATCTCAGAATTACATTAATTATTTTTAATCATTGTCCCTTCAGTTGGGATTTGATTTGTTAAATAATTTTATAATGTTCTGTGAGTTACAGAATATAAATTACTTGTGACGAAACTTCTTTAAGATGATTTAATAAAATCTTTTTTTACTGTACTACCTTTTAACAAATATTATTTAGCAAGTAATAGCTTTGAAAAAGAGTTATATTTAAAATATTTTTTTGCGATTTTGGGAAACTTAAATTATTTAGAAAGCCAATAATCCTGTTCATACAATATTATGAACGCATTATTAATATTTAAAGCATAGGGGAGAGTAAAATTTATAAGGGAGTTCGTAGTTGCATAGTTTTAATTTCGAAATAATTTGATAAACAATAATTCTAAGTTTAAGATTAAAACGTAAAGAGAAATAAGTGTAACATATTCAATAAAAGTCATGCATTTAAGTACATTTAAAATCAAAAAAGTATAAATTATGTTTTTAAAACGCGCAATTAAAAATAGATTATAATGAGATCCAACACCAAACTGTTTTTTTAATCATTTGATAAGAAATAAAAAGTCTAAAATTAAACATTAAGAGGAATAATAAACTATTTAAGTAATGCATCTGAAAAAAGTTTTAATCAAGATAAAAATAATAAATGAGAATTATTTTGAAACTTAACAATAAACAGTTGAAAAAAAGGCTAAGAAGGAAAATATTTTTTAACAGAAAAAAATAATAATAATTCCTGTTTCACACATGATGCGCATTCCAGAATTCAACTCAAAAAGCAACCAAAGAGATTTAATGGATACCCTCGTAAATCATTGCCCAGGAGTAGACTGGAAAAAAAATGATGGTGAAATGAAAGTTTTTAGCTAGTATAGATAAAAAAAAATAATCAATAATGATGCTTCTCATTTTCTCTAGTGCCCATATATCTTCAGATTAAAGGATGACAAGTTTTCAATATATTTCAACAGCGTTTTTGATTTATCACAATAGAAAAGATGCTTCATACTTCGTTTTGAAATTCAGAGTTTTGACAAATAAAGAATCTAACACTCTTTATAAAGGCGCTGCTTCTGCTTTTATGGCAAAATATATTAACCAAACAATACTTTATATTCTCTTATTTTGTGCGCTATAACAGAATGTGAATTTTAAGCATTCAAATAGTTTTAATTCATTTGCAGAAATATCTTGAAAGGGAAAAATAATATCACATTTCTTATATGTTTAGTTAAAAATCTGAAAATGCAAAAATTTATAAATTTCAGTTATTATACTCAATATATATTTTTGTTTCATTTAAGCTAATTTCTACGGATACGGACACGGTAGTTCATGCGGATTTTGCATTAAAACATCTGAGACTGACCAACAATAAATGGCTTCCCACCGATTCAACATTATTATAACGTCCAAAAGAAAGCACACCATTAAACGTTAATTCCAATATAGATATCCAAGTTGTACATTCAACAAGTTGCCTTACATTCATTTTCCCGAAAATCAACTAATTAAGAAAGTTAAATATTTTCAAGCATTAAAAACAAAAATACCTAATTTAGTAATGTGACATTTCATGGAAAGATTTTAATTTAAATCACTTTTTTTTGACGTATAATAAACGGAAAACACCTTGAATTCACTCAAAAAGAAGAAAGTGTTCAGTATCTATTGTAAAAATGTTAATAAAATATGGATTAACATAATAATTAAAAATAAGGGATGTTGCAACGTTCTGTTGCAAACATTTGAATATGCAATTTGCTAACATTAGGTTTAAAGGGTTACATTCTCAATAATTACCAACGTTCTTTCAAAGCACTAGCAAACATTTTAGCTGTTTCTTGTAAAAAAAATCTTTGATTTCGTTCAATTTGTATTACCTTTTAAACTAAAGTAACAATTCACATCATCCTTGACCAGTTATTGAAAATGTATTCTCCACAACAAATGTCTCATTGCTATCGGATTGCAATGAATCTATATCTATATATATTTTGGTCTAGGAATTGAGCCCGAATAGTACATTTTCTTCTCGCATTTGCCCTGTTGTCAATCAGATAGTCATCGGAGAACATTCCTATTTTCCTTTCTTAACTGTACATTCACGCGTATTCATCAAATTTCTGATTATGCGTTTTGTAATAATGCTGAGTTGAATAAAAAAATAAGAATTTTCAAAATTATGAGGAAATCTCTAGTAATAACTGTCGAAATATCATACGGATTTGAAAATAAACAATCGTTTTCGAGAATCCAAAGATAAGCGATTTTAAACTTGTAGGTTATAATAGAATCGTATTAAAAATATCAGAAATTAAAAAATTATGTCGAAACATTATGTTGTTATGACTTCCAGAAAAGCGATAAAAAAATACCTTGTGAAATTCACCTGCCATTATATTATCGGAATAAAAATACCGGCATTTTATAAAAACATATGAGAAATCCATAACATGAGTTTACGATGAAATCGATGGAAATCGTGTCAATAAAAAAATGATCAGTCAAATGCGTAATTCGAAATTCCCATGACGTAATAATCTCGCAATAAAAAATTTAAGAAAAACCTCTTTGACCTAATTTTAAATTTGGAGCAAAAAAAATAGAAACAAGTAAATATATATATATATATATATNGTGTGTGTGTGTGTGTGTGTGTGTGTGTGTGTGTGTGTGTGTGTGTGTGTGTGTGTGTGTGTGTGTGTGTGTGTGTGTGTGTGTGTGTGTGTGTGTGTGTGTGTGTGTGTGTGTGTGTGTGTGTGTGTGTGTGTGTGTGTGTGTGTGTGTGTGTGTGTGTGTGTGTGTACATGACAAAGAGAAATAAAAGATAATGAACAGAAACAGAAAACATAATAGGACTCTGAACACTTTAGTACACGATAAGACAGATTAGCAAGAGAGTAAAAGTTTGTGCTACTTTGAAAGAAGGTGAATATGCAAACACTTTGTGCCACTAATAATTTAAAAATTAATAATTTACCTTCCAGGATGGACGTTCCAGACTATTTGTATTTTGCTGTAAATGTAATTTTTCGTGTTAATTTTTCTGATTAGAATTACTTATATTACCCATAATTTTAAGAAAAGGACAATGTATTATTATGCATGACAATTTTACGTGCTCTTGAATAAGTAAGTCCAAATTTCAGTATAGAAAAATGTTTTCATATATCCGTTAATGTAAGTTGTTTTGAGATAACTTCATTTGGCATTTTTGACAAATTTTCGAATTTGAAAATGCCTGACCCCTCAAAAGTTTCATTATTAATTTCCTGAATAAGAAACAAAACATGATTTTTCTTAAAAATTTTTTAAATATCCCACATTCCTTTGAAAATTTCTACTTTTTTTCGCAAATTTTTGACTTATAATTTTATACTTTTTCTGAATGCTGCGCTATTTTAAAACATCGAGCCCATTAAAAGTCACATTAGAAGATCCTCAATTGAGAATGAAAAAAAAATCGCCTTCATAATATTATCAGTCTTGCGCAGAGAAAAAAACTATTAAACTTTCGTTTTTTTCCTTATATATTCTTTCTTTTTTGTTATATATACGAATTTTTAAAGTATATTTCTAGAACAGTGGATTTTCGAAGCCTGTCACCAAGGAAAATATAAAAGCCACAATTTTTGCGTCTTACACTTGAAGCAAATAGTGATTTTAAGCTACTATATACATATCATCTTGCTGTAAAAAATTGTCTGGGCTTTAGAGCGGTAGAGTAATTAAAATATTTTAAAAGTTATTAAACCTTTTTCAAAAATCTAAATTGGCGACATTTTACCACCTAGATGAAAATTATTAAACTCGATGCCGTATTCTCCGTTTTTGAAAATGTTTACGAACCTAGATAATGCGGTATTGAAGCAAATTTTTAAACATTGAAAAATTAGATCATGAACGCTTTTCTTTTCTATAAGACTATGGCTTTTTTCCCTATTGACGTTTTGGGCCAATTTTAGAATAATCATAAACTGTGCTAGCTTTAAAACTCTTCCCAACAGTCATGACTCAATTTTGCAAACTTACAGCAGTTATGAAAATATTGGTTTGAGAAAAAAGTTATTGCGATTTTTTTCTAAATTTTCCAAACTCATATATTTAAATAACAGTCAAAGGTTAATCAATGATATATATTCCCTTTCGTTCGACGTCCTTTTGCCATTGTTAAGGGAGCTTCATTATTCGGCATCCATAAAAGGACTTGGCATTATTTGCGAAAAATCGAACAAGGTGCTGATTAACAACTTCATCTGAATTTAACTTCATCAGACTTCATCTGAATTCCACACCAGGAGTTTTCAAAAGAGCAAAACAAGTATAACGGTGCAATGTCAAGCGAGTATGGTGGGTGGCGCAACATACAGCATATAAGTTCCAATAACTTTTTACGGGTAACCAATAATGCGTGTGTCTCGCGTTATCATGATGGGACACTACTCCTTTACAATTGACAAGCTAAGAACAATTCTGAATGACAAACTCTTTCAAATTGTCCGATTGCCTACAGTACACATCTGAATTGATTGTTCCGCTCCTTGATTTGAGCTCAAAAATCCCCACACCCTTTGAATCCCACTACACTGAGAGTATAATTCCTACAATAAAGCTTTGAATTAAAAAATAAACTAAATTATTTTATTTCAAACTTGAAAATTTTTTCACTCATTATTTAAATTCTTTTGAACCAAGTAATGAAATGTTAATTATTGAACTTACGTCATTATAAGCAACTGCTACGTGTTTATAGTGGCCATGCTGTCCTTCTGGGAGTGGTAATCTCATGTACCAGTTGGTACCATTTTGACCAAAAAAGATTGGACCTCGTAAATCAACCCAACCTTTCCTGCTCGGTGGACTCTGTTCATATATCTGAAATAAGATGCATCAAACAGGAAATTTTTATTCTTTTTAAATATATATAAATCTATAACTTTATTTAATTCAAAAGTTTGAATTCAGTTAAACTTACCACAACACAATACCAAAGCTCTGCGGAGCACTGAGTGACTACAGAAAAGTTCTGAGATCTAGCTAACCAAATAACAGCTAAACTTTGACTATCAATCCACTGAACAGATGTAAAATAATGATCCCTGAAAGGAAACTAGAGCAATTAAATTCTGCAATAAGTGCATCAGATTTATTTCCAGTCAGGCAGCTTTGCGCATGCAGGAGCTAGATAGAGCTAATTAACTTTAAATGGAATACGTGGGTAGAAATAGTAAGTCAAAGTTTAAAAAAATACAAAATGAAGAGCAGTTCTTATATAATTTTATAAGGATTAAAAATTTGGAATTTTAAATTTTGTAGGTTAGAGCTCCGTCTTCTCTGGCTTGGAGAGTAGTGCGATTCTCTGCTACAAAGGCTTATTTCGAATAGACTGCGCTCTCTCCGATAGTTTCTGAGCGATTCAGAATCCACTATTTGTTGTGTTTTCGGTGACTTCAGAGCTGGAAAAGCCTACGACTATTTAGGCAGTTGGAGAGACTTACCAGGTGATACCAGGTGATTGCTACCACCATCTTTTGTCCTATCTTAACTATCATAGTATACTCTGCAAATCCATGAGCGTTATCTTCTATTGCTTCTAAAAATGTATATTAGCTCTACTCGCAAAGTTTAAACAGAATTTAAAGAATAAAATTTTATAATTGCATAGTTGATGCAAAGTTTAAACTTATATGATCCTTACATGCTTTAAATCGTATAACCAAAAATTATAAATTCACATCCATAATGTTTAAAATAATATTCTGGAGCAGGCATGCTGAATTGAAGATTACTGAAAAAAAGTATTAGAAATAAACTGAAGCAGGTTACGAATTTAATGTAAGGATGCGGTATCCATTGTTATATATAAACATGTACTTGGTACAAATAGAAAAAAATAGTTTATATAAAAGTAGTTAAATTATTTTTAACGCTCAAATACATTAAAAGTGTTGCAAAAATATGTGGTCTAAATGCGAAATATACTGCATTGGTCTACCCATATATTCCTAGAAAAAAGTAATTAACCAGCAAATAAAAACCAAATATTTTCATGCAATTTCCTAAACTAAGAGTTACGCGTTAAATCAGACAAATCCTTGTATAAATGAATCAGTGCAAATGAAAAAAAATTCTGCATGCATGGCGTATTATGTCGTTTACTTCCAAATCTCTGCGTTTCTTAAAGGGATTTATGAAGCAAACATCTTAAATATATATACATATATATTTAATTATTACTAAGCATAATACAATAAAACAGTTACAGCAGGGCCTGTGTCCTGTAATAAAATTTTTAGTAAATAATTGTCCAAGTAAAACATGTTTTTATGAACTTAATCATGAATAGATAACTAAAACGGAACACATCATGTACGAAGCGATAATTCAGGAGTCAAATTTATTTAAGAATCAAAAAAGGCCTTTCTTTTTAACGGTAACGTTTTATTTACCAAAATGACTTATATGGGAATAAAATAATAATTGATTTTTGAGAACTATATACTGCTCAGGCAGATCATTTGAACAAAAAAAAATTATAGTTAATTTGATACATTTAGAAAAATATTAATTTAAAAAAAAGCATATATTTCTTTCTGAAGGAACAGACTACTATTTTTAACTAATTATCTGAGATAAATCTTAAATATTATGAAACTAATTTTCTTAAACTTAATTAAGAATTAAACTTGATTTCTTTTTTTAAAAAAAACTGCAAACCTGTCACTATCCAATCACTTATAATATTTTTTTTTATGAAAAGCATTTTTATTTTCAGTATTTTTGATTAATACTAACTCATGGGTGAGCTTAATTTTCTCTTGAGAAAAAACAAAATTATTCAAAAACTTCTTAAAATCGTTTCGTATAATTTTTGATAGGTTTATTTTTTATAGCATAAAAAATACACATACTTTAAATAATTAATTTTCTCAGAAAGAATTCTGAACTAGCTGCTTATTTATTTATTTTCAAAAGCTCTAATATTGTCTAATAAAGGTTGAATCGGTAAAGCAAACTATTATTTTATTCAAGAACTAATGCTTTTCAAAATAAAACTATATAATCACATTGTTTTTATCCTATAAATTCTTATAGATTTGTGAAAGATAATAAGTTTGTTTATAAGCAATATAATAATGTTAGCAAATTAAAATCTATATCTTATTTGAATTTATAAGATTTCTATTAAATATCTATAAAATATATAATTCCAATGTATTTTGAGCTGATTAAGGTAATTTAATAAATAAAAGAATATCTGAAAAGTATTATATTTCACTCATAGAAACTATTTGATGCCTGACGGTATATTTAATAATACTAGTTTAACTTTATTGAAGTATTTTAAAAATTAAGATTTAATTTGAAAACTTGGTATTTAATTAATTGAATTTTCTTTAATTTCAATATCGAAAAGCATATTTATATAGTTTGTAAAAAAGCATTTACAATATTAAAAGGAATAAACATCTTTTTTAAATTTTGCTTCTCCAGAAAAGAGAGCATCGATTTAACTGATTTGTTTTTGCATTTTCCCCCCAAAACAAAAATTAAAACAGGATACAATTATTTTTTAAGTAAACAGATCTGAACCGTGGTGGCTCAGGAGATAGAGCATTCACCTTCTAATGAGGTGAACCGGGTTCGAATATCAGCAATGGGTGGTCGATACGAATTCCGCACCCGGCTCTCACCGATCACAGTGATGATGTAAAGTATTCGCAGTGGTAAACGGATCATGGGTTAGATTCCCTGGCCGGCAATCTAACCATGGGAGGTTTTTGTATTAACGCAAATGCTGGTTAGTCTCATCAAAAAGTCCACCACGAAGGCTACTTTCTCCCATTACTTGACCATGAGTTGACCCTTGTATTCCGGATCGGGTTCAAAATTACAAGGCTACTGAGCTGAACATTGATGGTCATAAACCTTTAATTGGGTCAACTGTTCAACAATGGTTTTAAAATAAAGTAAAATAAAGAGATATAGAGATTCGAGAATTGTTGGATTTATCAAAACGCATATCTAATGACTGCAAGCTGAACCCCATTACCACGTCCGCTAAGGTAGAAAAACTTTAATATTCTAAACATGAAACACCTTATCTTGAAGAATTGGATTCTTCTTCAGAAAATTCATTGACTTGTATTTTAAACTATTAATTTTGGATGAATGATTTTTGTATTAAAATTAATAAATATGAGGTTGAAAAATTTTGTCACTATAAACTCAGTATTTCGTCCCTATCCCAAGAGTAAGCAAAGGGGCAGTTGATTTTGGGTGTCATAAAATTTTCTATCTTCTCCATTTTTATCCTTTTTTTTTCAAGATGCATTTCTCAAGGTTTCTCACTTTTGAACAATTTGCAAAGCATGAAAGTTACTTTGTTCTGTCAATCAAAATGCTAAAATTTATATGTTGATTCTTCTCTGCACTTTCTTCAGAATTTTTTCAAGCTATCTGCGACAAAACTCCCTAGCAGTAATATCTTTCTGCAAGATACTTTTCATAAAAACAAACATATATGTTACTAATTTAAAATAGCAAAAACTATTATAATTTTTTAATTGAACATGTAATAGTTTTTTACTCTAATATTATGGGTGATATTCTTGAATTTTTTTTTTGGGGGGGGGGAGATAAAATGCGTTGCCGGAAAAAGATCGATGACGAAATCACTCGAGTCGAACTCCTCAAATGCATGTTCGAAATGCGTTGTTGTAATAAATAATATCGTATAAGGAATGTCGGATTTAAAATCTATGGAGAAATAACTGCTAAACTGCAATAACTGCTAAAAATTAGATATAATCATTGCTTATAAAGTAAGTACTCAAATGCACGATTCGAATTTTCTGTATTGTTTGAAATATATCGGGATATTCAAAAACCACATGAAAATTAATAATTGCCGAAAATTCAATCAAAACATTACATCGATTTGCGATAATATCAGCGTAAATTGGGAACGTCAAATGCGTGATTATCTGAATGTATGATTAAATTTTACGCGTAAATTTCTGTATGAAAGAAAACTAAAATTTTTTACTTCTCCAAAGAAAAATCTTTCTGCAAGAACTCTGTAACGTTCTGCGACAATGTCACCGAGTAGCTGCGATTCTGACACGTGACTTCTCTGTTTATCTTCAAATTAGCAAAACAAAAAGCAATATTCCTATTCAGGATTTCGAAGCATCTCTAACACCACTACTTGTTAGTGATGTTGAGAGGGTAAAGTTTAACATATGATATAGATCATTAAAATACATTTGAAATGCATATTTTCCGAAAGTTTCGTGTTGGTTACCAAAACATATAAGTTTACATTTTTTTTGGACAAACAGTAATGAAATATCAGAATTTTTCTAACAAAGCATAAAAGAGTTCATTCCAGAAAAAAAGCATCAATTTGACGACAGAAATTAAAAAATTACAAACCATAAAATGAAAAAGAACAAAACGTATGATGCAAGTAAAAGGTGTGTTTTAAAAAGGGTGAAGTCAAAAGCGAAGCAAAATGCTCGTGATCACAAACCACACATGCACTAACTGGTCTTGAACTTCTCGGGGTGGTTTTACGTCTCTTTTTAGAATGTTAGGAATATTTCGAAGGTCGACCACCCACAGAAATGCAGAAGGATTATCTCCGCCAGGCTACAGAAAAGAAAAAAAATTATATGCATTTCATTGTGTTTGTCATTTAGTTAAAACTTTTTTAAATATAACATTTTATTTATAACTAATTAAATATATCCATTTATTAAAACATACTAAATACTTATAACATTCGATTGAAATAGGATTTATTACATTAACTGATTAAATTTTTTTAAAAATTTGAATAAATTAAAATGAAAACTTATATTTGTTTTTACTTTTATAAATTTCACAAATAACTAAAACTGCGTCAGCAGTAAAATTTCAAAAAATAATATTTTTTTAAGCTTTTATTTTTTAAATATACATTTGAAAAGCAGTATAATTATTTAAAAATATAATACTCTTCCACGCATTGTTTTATAATTGTTGCTTGAAAAAAGTGCGATCAGCTCAGGCGCTATCTTCGTCATCTAATTAGAGTTAAAAAAAAAACTTGACATTCTTGCAATAGTTGCTAAAAGATAGATCCCTGAGAAGCGGGACTTGCAGCTTAGACACTTTACGGCGGTGTGTTATCAATTGGTGTGTCCAAAACGTGTTATCAATTGGTCTATATTACAATAGCCAAAATATAATTTTCTTATATTAATTTCATATATTTTGTGCGCAATTTATTAATATATTAAGAGTGATGGATTTCGTATTAAAGGAAGTCGGACTATATTATAGATTCTACATTGCTTACATATTATAAAACAATTGTAATTATACATTATTTAAAATGACTGTGAAATGAACTATTTCAGCTAAACTACAAACCAACTTTTTATCTGTGTTTTTTTGTTAAACTTGTAATTAACAAGAAGTCATTAGAAATTATTTGGAACAAAAAACTACTTCTGGTAATAATTGAATTATATTGCATTGCACTCTGATTCAGCAAGTTAAGTGTCTCAGTTATTCTTACCTAAAATACTTTTTATATTCATAATCTAATTCCATTTGCTTTTATTATTTATATTAAAATTTCGGTCCGCAAGATAACAAGTAATATTAGTTATTAGAATTTTTTTTTCGGTTATTAGAGATTTTAAACATTTTTTAATTCAATTGTTTTCAAAAATTGATCCCTTCTTTCTTTTAAATCTCACCATTTTTTCAAAAAATCTTTTATTCGAAAAATGAAAACTGGAATAAAATAAAATATTAAATCTAGAAAAATAAAAATAGCTAAGTTTCCTAGCTATAATGCTCTTATAAATTCTCAGTTAATTACTTTTGGTAAAATTAATATTTATTCAAATCGTATCTTTCATGACAGTTCAAATAAGGAGAATGTTGTATAACTTAGTTGAAAGCTTCTAAATTTATAATGTAGTGTCCTAAATAATATTTTTCTGAGCTTTCACTTAAGGGTTTGCAATAATCATGCTCTTCAAAAGAAGTAATGTATAAGCAAGCAACTTCAAATTTAAAGTTATTAAAATGTTAATTTTGAAAACACATTTTAAATTAAGAAAAGAAAACCATTCTCAATTTCTTACAATGAAATTCCAAAATTAAAAATGCTTCTGTTTTTGATCACAAACTATGATTTCTAAAGCGCTGTTTAACTTTAAAACTACTTCTTCCGTAAAGTACCGTTGTAAACATGTCTTAAGATAAAGCTTCTTGATTTAGTAAGTAGTTCCGGATAAATATTCAACAATTCCACTTACTTTAGGGAAGCGTAAGGAAAGGAATTCAGGATAAGCACCCTCTGAATCGTTTCTGCTAACGTTCCCGTACCAATCGTAGTAATATGCGTTGACTTTCGTATCATTAATTGTTGCATAACAAAGAGAATTACCATCAGGCGCCCACCATACTGCACTGTTACTTCTCAAAAGTTCCTCTGAAAATAATTCAATGCAACAGATATTCAGCCGCACACACAGACAAATATATAT